CACAGCAGGAGCTCAGCTGGAGTTTTCAAATTAGAGCTGATTGGGAATTTTTCAACAAAATGTATTTTCATTAGAAAATGCAGCTTGGTTTCATTGCAGATCTGTAGTGCAGTAGTGAGGATGCTTACCCAATATGATGATATGCAAATTCAAAGAACAACTCTGAACAATATGTTTTTATAGGAAGTAGATCATCCGTACCAGGAGCTGTGGAGTGCAGCTTGCCCTAGGATAACTATCAGTCTGTGGGTGAATTGACACAGTCATCTCTAGCTGGAGAGACATTGGGTCAGGAATTTGAAAATGAGTAACCTGTATGCTAGGTGAGATGGTGTGGTGAGATGGTGTGATGTCTCTCTCTCTCTTTTTTTCTTTTTTTCCTTTTGGTCCATGTTAGTTTTGTGAAACATTCTAAAAGCACTGGGTTTGCTACAGGAAGGAACTGGAGCAATAATGAAATCTTGGGACATTTTATGGAGTGGGTTTACTTGGTCTCACTTGGTTCTACTCCAAACCTCACAAACTGTTAACTGTGAGATCAGACGTATCTTCTTTTGTGAAATATATATATAGTCTAAACGAGACAGACAAGTTCAGAGTAAATCATGACCAAATACTTGAGAAGAACTAAAGATGGAATACTGGAGATCTCATAATTATTAAAAACAAGCTGTCCCAAACCTGGGACACCTGGAGTACTTCATTCAGTTCTGGGGCTCCCAACAAAAGGAGGATATGGACCTATTACAGTGAGTCCAGAGTAACGCCATGATGATGATTAGAGGGTTGGAGTGTCTCTCCTGTGAAGACAAGCTGAGGGAGCTTGGGTTGTTCAGCCTGGAGAAGAGAAAGCTCTGGGGAAACCTTATAGTGGCCTTCCAATAGCTAAAGGGGGATTAAAAAAAAGTTGAGGAGGGACTTTTCATCAGGGAGTGTAGCAATAGAACAAGGGGGAATGGCTTTAAACTAAGAGAGGGTAGGTTTAGATTAGGTATTAGAAATAAATTCTTTCCTATGAGGATGGTGAGGCACTGGAACAGGTTGCCCAGAGAAGCTGTGGATGTCCCATCCCTGCCCCCAGGGATGGGGCATCCACTCAAGGGCCAGGCTGGCTGAGGCTTTGGGCAGCCTGGTCTGGTGGGAGATGTCCCTGCCCATGGCAGGGGGGTTGGAATCAGATGATCTTTAAGATCCCCTTCAACACAAACCATTCTGTGATTCTATGAAACATGAGGAAGGAGATTGCAGTAGGCCTGTGTGGGCAAAGGAACATGTAAACCAAAGGGAATAGTAATAAAGTATGCATGACTGAGAACCTGGGGTTAAAATTCAGGCACTGGAATTGCGCTGGGCCTGTTGTGGTGTAATCAAGGCACAAACTGATGTCTGTCATTGACATTGCCACTGTGCTCACCTTTCAGTAAGATTAAGATGTCTTTCTCTGGGAGCTAACTTTGCTTAAGCTTACTCCAAGAGTTTTCACTCTAATTGATCAGTCAGAGCAAATAATTTTTCAAAACTGCAAAACAGCATTCTAGGAGAATATACCGAGAAATGAGTCAAACCCTTGAAGAAATCTCAATAAAATATATATACAGTACAGATCACCAATAAAATCATTAGATTAGGTTCCTTCTCTATGAGGACAGTAACTTTTCCAGTGCAGGATGATGACCTGTATTACTTCTTCAGAAACAAACAAACAAACAAATCTGTTTCTTATAAATAGTATAACTAGTGTAAAAAGAATGAACTATGGAGTCTGTTGTGGACAAAAGGTTTACCCATGAATCCTTCTGCTTCATAAATTGAGATTAAAAAAAGAAAAAAATTGAGACAAACAAGCACTGACCTGTGAGTTAACCAAACACATAGATGAATTCAGAGATGCTGTCCCATGGTGGGGAAATACCCAGCATAAGCACTGAAGAAATGTTTATAGAGGAAAGTTATGTGGATTTTCAGGCAGTGGAACAGCAGTGGTTACGTCTTGCTGAAATATCATAATCGCAATGAAGTGGCAAAGATGGCAACTGATGTGTCAAAGACACACAAATCCATCTTATAGGGCTGACAACTTGGTATGATTGCTCTCCAAAGATAACTTTATAACTTGCTGAAGTGTGATTTAAGGATGCCCCGGAGCAGCACTAACTTGTGTACCTTTCTTGTGGATAACTTTAAAAGCTATAGCTTTAGTTAATAGCTTATGCAATTTTTCATTTGACCTACGGGTGTCCTATGTGGGTGGGATTCTCAAAAACACTCAAGCCCAGATCCACAAAGGGATTTACAAAGAAGTGGTTGCACCTATAGTGTGCACAGGGAGTGGAGCAGAGGGTTGGCCATGGTTTAGCCTGTGACCTAGGGAGGAGGCAGAAAAGGGGCTGCAACACCCTTAAATCTTCACCCAGAACACTACCCATATTCAAGTGTGAAATTGTTCTGGACTAGGCTCTGTTGATGTCTTAGCTTTGTTGTCATTGAAATGGAGTAAAATTAGGCCCCAGCCAAGTGTTCCTGGAAAGGCCAGACTGAATCTTTCATTTTCTGCTGCAGCTTTGACCCTTTCTGAAATATTGTTTAGAAAGGAGTACTTGCATCTTATTATCAGGTAGACCACAGCAGCAGGAAAAAAAGGTGTGCTGTTTTTGTTTCAATGTTTTGTTTTTCAGGTGAATTGTTATACATACATGCAAGAATAAAAAGGATGATAAAAAACATAGTATGATATCCAGTTTGGTCCCAGTAATGATAGATGCCTAGATGCTTTAATCTGAAGAATCTGACAAACTACATGCAACTCAAACTGTAGATCTTGGAATGCACCTTCCCTTTTTGATGTTAGCAAAGAAGAGGGGTTGTATCTTCATATGTTTCAAACACCAGGATAAATCATGTCTTCTATGGGAAATAACCCCTAAGCAGCAATGTTTCTTATAAGTAAGCCTTCTGAGAAGCTAAATTATTCCCTTTTTTTCCCTGTCTTTTTGCAGAAGTGCACCATCTCCTGTGGCATTTGTGCACCCAGAAGATGGTTTGAAAGGCCATAAACCATCAAAATAAATAAATGGTTGAGAATAGCTAAAGTCCTTAAAACATCATGCTATAAAAAAGGTCCAACCCTGGCAACTTCTGCATGAATGCTAGATGCTGATTTGCTTCCTCAGACCCAGAGGCCTTTCAGAGGGTCTCTGAAATGTAAGATGGAGGTTGGACTGACCTCACACATGCGGAGCAGGCAGGGCCAAAACAGTAGAAGATAACCACTCAGAGCTATGTCCTGATCCCAGTCAGTAGCTGAATTTACACTACTGTTAGTGGGGAGAAAGAGTCTTGAAGTCAGGAGAGAGTGTCAAGGGTCTTTAGAGCTCCTCAGAGGCTCAAGTGCTAGCAGAACATGCTCATCTAGCTTTCACTATGAAAACTTAGTAAAGTTTACTCAGGATTAACTAACTTCTGAGGGCTGCAGAGTGAACTGAAGAAGGGTTCCTGTTTGTCTTCTAGGGATAGTGTTATGGGAAAGCCTGTAAAGCTGTAGGTCCAAGTGGAGAGCCTCCTCTGACTTTTGGGGAGGCATCAACTGCAGTTAAATATCAGTGCATAGGGATAAATATCAGTGCAAGGGATGATAAGAATTCGTCTTGAAAGCCTTATTTTACCCACACCTGGAGGAAAAATGATGGTAATACTACTGCTGTTGTAGCTCTGATGGTCTAAGGGTAGGATAAGAATTACAGAGAGAGGCAGTACTTTCCTTTAGGCCAATTGTTTTAACCAGGGGAAGAAAAAGCCTTGCAGACACAAGTCCTCTTGTATGCAAAAACTTTCCTCCTGTCATAGATATCGGTTATTCTAGTGGAAAATGTTTCTTTTCCTGTAACTTTACCTCTGAAGTAAAGTGAAATCTGAACTTTACTCCATTGATAAATACTGGATGATCTAAGCTTACCCAGTAATTTAGTCTTGATAGTGTTTATTGGGACAGCTGATGAACAAACAACACACTTTTTCTGAAGACTGACATGATGTTAATGCTAGTCAAAAATGGTATTTTTTTCTTCAGTGGGTATATTTTGTAGGAATAGTGATTTAAAGTCTCATCTTTGAAGAAAGTCATCGCAAAGTATCTGATCACTTAACTCCTAAAGGTGAAATATGGGTCCTATGGAGCTGGTATGGTTATAAGGGTGCATAGGCTTTGGAACAGTATATTTGTAATAGGATAGATGTTGGTGTAGAGCATGGGTGAAGAGGAAAGCAGATTCTGACCTTAAGCACTCACATACTGGCTCTTGATAAGAAGTCAAGTAAGTATTTTATGCTGTGTGGCACTCCAACATTTATGACCTTTTGTCCTCACTGATAAAGAAAACAACACTGACACACAAGCAGCAGAGAAGTCAAATAAAAATAATTTCAGCTACTTCCTACTTCATAGAAAAAAAAATAAACTGCTACTGTTGTCCTCAGCCTTAAAAAAAAAAAAAAAAAAAGCTCTGTCAGATAAAATGTACCATTCACTTTAAACTGTATGCTCTTGTTGCTCTAGCATTTTATTCCTTTTGCACTCTCTAGCTCTCAAATGAGCAAAAATCTGAGGGTGATGCTTAGAGATAATAGGGAGAAGTAGGTTTCTTTTTAAACCTGTCTAGTTCCAAGAACTAAGTTATTTCTTCATTGTAAAGTCAAGGAAAAATAAGGAAAAGTGACTCAAAAGGAGCATCTGCAGTCAGATTTGGAGTGACTGTTTTCAAAATCTGTTTTCTCTCACACATATACTTTGTCGTTTTGAGAGTTACGTTGAAAAAGATGATTGTGGTCTACTTAAAAAGAAATAGAAACATGAAAGTGGGATAGTCTTCCAGAGCTTGGAGTGTGGGGCAGGCACATTGTATTTCTGAGTCTGCCTTAAAGTCTAAGTCAGTCACTCTTTCCCCATTTTAGAATCTAATCTGAAAGAGGGTACTAATAGTATTTCCTCTCACCTATCAATTTTCAGTTACTGTTCATTTTAATCACAGGTGCCATCGGAGACTGTTTCTTAATGTATATCATTACTTTGGCCAGCACGAAGGGGTTCCTGTTTCTCTTGGCACCCCTAGATGTAGGAATAATATAAATATAGTCAGTGTTACAATTATAAGCAAAGTCTTTAAAATAACATAGAACTCAGCATATACACATATTAATACGTAAATAATAAGGCACATATAACATTAGCATAAATAGAGGAAATCAGGTAACAAAGCACAAAGACAGAAAGAAAGTATAAAATCAGTCTTAATCAAATGGTTTCTACTTCATTTATTTTTGTCCTGCTCTGACTGGTGTAACTTATAATTAGTCTCTGCCTGCAGTGTTGTGGTTCCAAAGAATTGTGGATTAAGGAGAAACTCTAGAATTTCTCCGTAACTTGACAAGTTATAACCTGAAAGCTACACTTAGTCCATTAAAGATTTTTCACAGTGACATTTTAGTGCAGCTAGGGAAATATGCCACTTTGCCATTTATCATTTTCAGGGCATGGACAGTGAAAAGGAGGCTGCTATGAAGAACAAAATAAAAAGGATTACATGTATAGAAGTGAAGTGAAGAATACTGATAAATATACACCACTGAATGTCAGCAAATGTCACTTGAGAAGCCATTTGCAGCTACCAGAACAGCCTTGAAACCCAGCAAAAGTAGCAAAACCAGGCAAAACAAGTTGGGTGTACTCACTTCCACATGAATAAGCAATAAACCTCTCTGAAGTTACACCAGAAAGTTGTTAAACTTGATAGATGAATCTTTTCAAAATTGCTCTGTCTCATACAGTATATGGCTACAAAAGACTATGGATGGTTTAAAGTGAAAAAGAGAAAGCATTGCTGAGAACACTGAGATTTAAGAATTTTTGTTCAAACACTTGTATTCTGCTTTGTATTAAAGGGATGGTTTGAACAAAGGAATGATTCATCACACAACTTTTTCTTCCATGGGGCTGCTTTTATTTTTTTACTTTTTTGTCTGAACTTGATTTGAGATTCAGTCTACTGCATTGTTATCATTTCTCCTTTAAACGTGTTTGTCATTCTAGCAAGAGGACTTTGAGTTAGATCAGTTTGGGTTCGATAGGCAGATACATTTTTCACAACGAAAGCTTATGTGTTGGAAAACTTCCATTGGTATCTATCTAGCATGCTACCTAAGTGTAAGCAAAAGACCTTTTGGATGTCTTTTGTCTTTCCAGAAGTATCTGATTTGTGAATGGATCAGCTTCATTTTGGTTTTAGACATGTTGACATGGAAGAAACTCTGACTACGAATGCTTCAATGTTTGAGAGACAATACAAAGATTCTTTCAGGCTTATTTTTAATCTGCTTGTCTGTTTGCAGCCTCTCAAACCACTACTCTTCTTGTTAATAAGGTAAAGTGAAGATCTTTGACTCAGAAAATATCTCCAAGGAAAAGTGAGAGTTCTTAAAATTTCAGTAACTCTACTTTTATATTTAATTTTCCATGAGACTCTTCCTCCTAAATTCTAATTCATTTTAGTAAAAACAGAGACAGCCTGCATCATTTTGATTTCATTGCAACTCTTATCCCCAGAGAACACACTCATGCAAATTTCAGATCAGTTTTGTTTTCATTAGTAAAAACCTGCAACATGGATCATGTAAATGGAGTCACACAGGAATTCCTTTATTCAAAATATTTCATACGCATTAAGATATAATGATTGTAGAACAATTTCCATTAAAATTCTTCATGAAGTTTAATGTTCATGTAAAAGCTATAAGCACCCAGTCCTACAATGACATCCTAAAGCCTGGGACTTTAATTCTACAGACAGAATAAATTTCTTGTACTTACAGATCCTGTAGATGGAGTAAGGATGAACTTCCCTTTCTTGGGCAGGATATTTATACAGTGAATTTTCTTTGTAAGAGTCTTCACTCTATTCTTGCAAAATCAAAATCAAATGTGATCACTATTAGTAAAACTGAACTTTTATTAAATTAAATGTAAAGCCTGTTTAAAAATGAACAATGAAAATCAGAAAACAAAGATTAAAACATTAGGTTGTGCTCAGCACTGCATGAACTTTCTCAAACTGCTTCCCGCCACCCTCCCCCCAGTTCTTTGAAACTGAAGTAATGTTTGAGGCATAACAGATATTTGACAGCATTCGTCATACCGAAGCTCTGTAGTGGTTGTGCTGCTTCTCTGGTCTTGTTTTGAATTTCTCTGTCAATTTGAATAGACACAACAGAGTCTCAAGGAGCAATACTCACAAGCTGAGAAGACATAGACCGTGTCAGATGCAACAAAGGGAAAAAGATGTATCAGTTTGTTAGCTTGTCATAAATATAAGAGTCCCCAAAAGCTTCTCCTTTTACATAAAAGTGTGCAGTTCAGTCAAAAATACAAGAAAGCTTATTTACCTTTTATGTGTGAAATTTAAGTTATGCAATAACATGGTTAATGTTTTTAAGAAACTCCAAGATGTATTACATACATACACTTTCATCTTCAAAAGTATAGTTTATTAAAGGGTATTTGGAAAGTATGCATTCTATGCTGAGAGGATATTATTGAATAAACAGGCAGCACATGAATAAATACGCTGATTTAGAAAAAGAAAAAAAAAAATTCTGGTTAGAAGTCTGCCTAACCTAATGAATGGTGTAGTCCTTTAGTCCTTCCTTCCTCATCCTAAACATGAATGCTGCTATCCACACCCCAGACTTGGTGTAAACTACTGAATGCAAGAGGAAAGCACCCAATGGCTTTGGATCAGGGCCTCCAGCCTCCAGGCCTGTAGGCCTGTATCAGCCTAAAGCCAACCTACGTTTTACTGTAATCAAAAGTCCCTGAAATGCAGCTGTTAAGGTATGCACAAAATATTTGAAACTCTTACTCAGACAGATCTTTTCCTTTGGAATGAGTGGAACTTTAACCTAAATAAAGCTGTGTAAAATTTGGCTGTGTACAGACAGGAATACCAAAGAATCATATTTTCTATTGTGAGGGTTGTTGTCATTTGTTTGTTTGTTTTGTGATTTTTTTTAATTTTCTTTTTGTCCTTCCAAGTAGAAAGACCATATAGTTCTAAGTGGGGGGGAGGTCATTTTTTTTGTCCTTTTTTATTTTAATGGATAAACACTGTAATGCTAGCTAAATAGAAATTCTTGTCTGTTAATAGGTTCCTTTAGTTTGTAATAAATAGGAATGCTAATGACTAAAATTTGGTATTTGGTATGCATTAGCTTTTGTAAGTCTTTTCTTTACAGGCTTCATTGACATTCAATATGGCAAGCTTCCTTTGAAACATATTTATAAAATAACTACAGTATAATTAAACCAACAAAGCCATCTTTTAAGTAAGCTTAATAGCTCAGTTTTTCACTCTGTAAATTTTTTTTATTTGAGGAGAAAAAATAGTTATGCTTCAATTCTACTGTATATTTCATTTTGCATCTAGTATTTCCCTTCCATTTGCAATCTGTGCATATCTAATTCTTGACAACTGTGATTATTAATAATTGTGTATGAAAAATATGCTTCAGAGAATCTTCCACAAGAATATTTTTGTTAATGAGAACTGAAATATATCTTGGCAAATACAATATATGTAATATATATATGTATGTATATATACATATTTCAGTAGGTAATGCTGGTGTAGTTAATAAGCAAAAATGGATTAATAGATATGGCAAATAATAATCGAAGTGGCTGCTATTTAATAAATGTAACTAAAAATGTTTTAATGATATAAAAGCAATAGGTAAATAAAAGCAATTACATTTAATTTTGCTTTCAGCTTGTGAGCATTTTCTGCAAGCTTTAATAGAGGGGAGAGCTTGTGCAGAAGGCTAATGGTAGAGTCAGTGTTAGCATTATTCATTAGGGTGTCTAAGTAGTACTTATTCTGAGATATTTCTCTGGAAGACTAAAATGTTCTTGGTAAGGGTACTTGGATCCTGATAACCCTAATTCATAATAATATCCCCCTCATTCAGAAAATTAAAGTTTACAGAGTCCTCAGCAGTTTGAAAATCTTTATACTATTTAGAACCATGATCATGTTTACTAAGGACAAGCTAAAAAGTGATAGCTCGCACTATAATAAGTGGAACCTCGTAACTGTTTCTTAAACTCTGTCCTTTACGAGCATAATAATATTGAGACCCCATTTACGGTATGGTGAATAAAAACAGTTGACATCATTGTTATAATCTTTATTTAAAACTGTTACCAAGGTTACAAATTACCATCACTGTGTGCAACAGGTCCCTCTGAAGCAGTATCATTACAGATTAACTGTAATGTGTAGGATTATAATAAAAGGCATAAGGGATTATGCACAAGCAAAAATGCTAGAAATAACACAAATACATCTACATTATACAGTGCATCGCATTGCAAAACCTCTGTTCTCAATGCTGAAATACACAATGTGGCTTTTTGTTTAATTCGGGCATTTAAAGAGATGTTAACTGTATCCTGAAGTGGCCTTACAAATGTCAGAGCAGAGGGGGTAGGGTTTATCTCGACCTATAAAACCTCTGATGCTGTAAATGTTCTCACATAGTCTTCACTCTTAGTGGAGCACCTAGTTTACAGGAAAATATGACTCCATTGTGTAAGGCAGGACTGCAGTAAAAGCAAACAGAGTTAGCGGCTGCGTGACCCACAGCACCACAGCCTTGAGCAGAGGCCGGGGCTCGTCCCCGAGGGTGGGCAGAGGGAAAGCGGAGCGGCAGGTGACCTTCCTCTGGCTAAGGCGGGCGGCCACCCCCGGCCAGCACCTCCGTCCCCCTGCTAAGTTACTCTACCCCTCCTTCAACTTAATGACACAAATCCGGGCTCTTAAAGTCTTTGGGACTGATCGTACTCGCTCATTTATAAATAATGATCTCCATATAGATGCATAACAACAACATACCAGAAGTGTTTGGGGAGAAATCCGATTAAGGTCTATAGCTCCCTCCCCCTCCCTCTCGCCCCCCCCCCCTTCTCCCGGAGCAAAAGTCTGGCCGCAGGTCAGCTGCCGTGACTGGCCCGGGCTGAGGGGTTAAGGGGAAGAAAAGTCTCCATGCAGGCTGCCCCCCCGGACGGCGGATAACCCGAACGACTCGCCCCGCCGGGGTACGGCTGCCCGCTCCCTCCGGCAGCCCGGCCTGGGAGGCTCGCCTCTGCCGCGGGCAGGGACGGCGGGCATTTTATCGGGAGAGGGTCGCTGCCAGCTGGAAGTGTGAAATCTTCTGTCGGGGCCGATTTCCCCCCGGCGCCGGCAGCCCTCGTACAGGGCTGCGGGGCCGCCCCGCTCCGCCCGGCCCGGGGTGGCTGTGACGCAGAAACGCCTTTTCCTTTCCTCTTTCGGGCGATTTAGGGGAATAGAAAAACAAACATCGGGCCGTTTCATGAAACCGGCGGAGAAAGCTCCGAAGGGAAAGAGAGCGGGGCACATCCTTTTAGAGGAAGGACAAGGGTTCTCTGAGGAGGGAAAACAAAAGATGACAGTGGTGGCTGTAACCCCACCATGAACCAGGGACCTCCTGGCCACGCTCGGAGAGCTAACCTCCCCGGACTTCCCATTACCTCTCCATGACACTTCACTAATGCTCACACAATGGCCAACTGAGCAGTTTAAGTAAAGATATTTTAACCTGAACTAAACATTGACTCCAGACAATAGGATGCAAAGCAACATCTGGTAGCACACATAAACAACGCTGTGCAACAACATATGCTCGACGTCTGGAAGTTTATGTCAACACTAAGCAGTCGAGGAGGCTGTCGCTGTTTGGCATGAAATCTTAATAAATATCTATTTGCTGTGCTTCTGAGGTGAGCATCTCGGATCCCTCCTCGCCGGACATCCTCTTCAGCTTGGGGTTACCGGCGAGACATCTTCGGGCCCCACCCGCGCCTCCTCGGAGCGAACCACCAGTGTGAGAAATGCCAAGAGAGCCCTTGGCCTGGCCTGGCCCGGGTAGGGCCGGGACATCACCGGGCTCCCCCTTCCCACCGCGGCTCCTGGCCGGCGCTGAATGGCCAACTTCGGGGAAGCGCTTCGCTGAAGAGGAGGCTCTAGGCTAATGAAACGACGGGAGGTGACTATTGCAAACAGCTGTTCCTCATACATATTTCATTACACAATCAGATAATGCGTCTTACCACCTTCTCAATTATTCACAGATAAACATTTTCAAGACGTTTTGACATCTGTCTTAGGGCCTGCTATTAATTTAGTAATCACTGTGGTTAAAAATGTATGGGGACTGCACCTCACTAAAACTCTGATTTCGCTCACGAGGACAACTTCCGTACCAGCTCGCCCTAAGCAGGGCGAGCCATATCAGGTCAAAGAAAGCCCCAACGTGGGGGGGAGCACAGAATCTTATTCCTGCAGCCCTCGGACAGCCGCAGGGGGGGGGTCCTGCTCTAAGCTCTGCGCGCCGCCCCCGCGGAGTGCCGGGTCGGGAGCTGCACTGCGCCGGGCGCCCCCGGCACCCTCCGAAGCTCGCAGGAGAAGCGCCGGGGAGGGACGCGGTACCTTACCCCTCCCGTCGGCCGAGAAAGCACCCAGGAAAGCCGCGTTTGTCCCTTCTGCCGGACTGTTGGCACCAGCGCTGCCGCTCTTTAAAGGGCGCTCACCGTGGCCTCGGGGAGCACCCAGAGCAAGGCAGTGCCCGGCCAGGGCTGCCGGAGAGCTGCCCACCCTCCCCCCCCCGCAATGTCCCCAGCCTTCCACCCAGCCCCACACACCCTCGTGTGGCTTCGTGTCCCCCCCGAAACAAAGCCCGCGTGTCCCCGGCTCTCGTCCCCACGACGCGTCGAGGAAGTTTGACAGAAAGTTTTTTTCATTACCGCTCGGGCTGGGTTTGAAATCACAAGGCTTTAAGGAGTCGAAGCGTCTTAAAACTACTTCTATTGTGTATCTTTCTTGGCAGTAATCCCTTTTCTTAAAGAAGGACACCCCCCCAAAAACAGACGCGCACACGTACAGCTACCAGATGTTACACACGAACCTTAAAGAGCAAGCTAAACGAGCAATGGGGAGAATGAAATCTCGCCAGCTCTGTTTCAGACATTTTATTGATTAAATTCAACCATTCACTGCCTCTCTCCTCCTTCCCCTTCCTCAGGCTACCGCTTTTAACCACAAACTTCACACGCAAGCAAAAATCTGTCCCCTCCACGAGCCCCCTCCCCATGCCCACATAACTGGATGGGGGCAGGAGGACGAACACGTGTGTTTTTCCCTTCCTTCCACAAACCATCCCGATTACAACTACTTTCCAGAGCCGCGGTCTCGCCAGTGGCACGGGGCTTTTGCTTTGCAGGAGGCGCGGCACCTGGGGGGGGCAGCCACAAGCGGGGCTCTCGGGCTCCTCTCCCCGACCTACAGGGGTTTCGCCGCCTCCCCTCTTTTGTGTCGTGTCGTCGTCGTCCCCCCCCAAAGACACCCCCGTCCTGTCCCGGAGGTGGCACACGGGGGTCCTGACGGCAAACACGGCTAAAACAGGGCTGGCCGACTCGGCTCAGCACATCCCGGCGGGCAGCCGGCGTGCGGTGTGTTTGTTTTAAAGCCTCAACGGGAGTCCAGGGCGTGAATTTCATTTTAATTGCACCGTAAAAACAAAACACAACAAAAAGTGCCGGCACCCAGGACCGCTAGGGAGTGTAAAAGCCTCCTGCTTTGCAGGTGGCGGAAGGCAGAAGAGGATTTGGGTTCAGACGGAAAAGAGGATGCTCTGCAAAGGAAACAAAAATTCCTATTGCTCCCTAAAAATGCTACCAAAGCTGAATACCTCTCCCTCCCTTGAACGCTCTGTAAACAACAAGAGGGTTCGTGATGAACCTTGAGTCTGTTTCGAATCTACCCGGAATCTACGATTTTTTAAAGCCAGAACTAGGGGAAATCGGGGTATTCATGTACGGAGGGGAGACCCTTCCAACTCAGCAACATTTATCGTGTTTTACAGGTGATGGAAGCCCTAAGGACAAAAGAGAAAAAAAAAAAAAAAAAAAAAAAAAGCTCTGTTCTTCTGCAAGCTTTCTACCAGACTCTCTTGAATTGGTCCTCTGCTCACTTATAGCTGGTCTGGACCTACCTGGCTCTTGACTTCAGCTCTCTGAAGTTCTTTTGTGGTTTCAGCACTGTACTCGCAACTGTCACAGTCCCCCGCACAGTCACCCCGCTTACCATCCCCACCCCAGCCTCAAGACGTCCTTCGCCCTATTGATTGCGCTATAGCCAAAGAGGGCAAAAAGACGAGAATTGCATTCGACAGATGCTGCTCACTCGTGAATAACAGGTTCAGTGCATACGGTATCTCTCGCCATTATCCTGTAAGTTAATATTGAGTAGCAATAGCTGTCTAAATATCAAAATCTATTTATAGGGGATGCAAAGCCATGACCTCTCCATCTGACCTTCAGTAACTGCAGGCTGGAAAACAGGGCAAAGAGAGAAAAAAGAAAAAAAAAAAAAGAGGAAAAGCCCAGTATTACAATGGAAACATGTTCGCAGTGAAGCTGGGCTGGGCTGCCTTTGTTTTGAAATCCTTAGGGGAACTTTAGGGGAACTTGAACCTTTAGGACGGCACCGGACCTGCGGACCCGGGGAGGCGCGGGTCTGTGACTTCTCTCTATCCCCGCCGGGCACGCGGTGTGGCTTCGTCGACATATGGCCATCTGTAGAAGTTTGGGGATTTTTATATGTTACCAAAAAAAAAGAAAAAAAAGGAAAAAAAAAAAACAGAGCCGGTGACTAACTATCAGGTTTCGGTGCGAGCTGGGAAAGTGGAGAATTCAGCTCAGCGCTGATCCACTGCTTGGGAAATCATTTTACAAGGAGGGACCTGGGGGGGGGGAGGGATGTATTTTCTTTGCGGGCAGCCGGGCGGCCGCAGGCGCTTCCCGGGGGTGCCGGGGGCCCAGGGCAAGGCAGGGGTGTGGGCTCTGGGCCGGGACCCCTGGGCAGCCCACCCAGCCACGGGGAGGGGGGATGCTCCGTAAGGTCCCCAAGCAGGCATCGATATTACAGAGCGCGTCCCCTCGGGGGAGCACGGCGGGGGGCAGAATCCCAAAGCACTTTTGTTCTTGCGGAGCCGTCGAGAGCACGTCCAGTCTGAATCACCAACTGTGTCAAACTGCGAAACCGCCCTCCCCCCCCCGCCCCAGCCCGGCAGCTCCCGGCGTTAACATGGCGCCTGCAAGCGAGAGGAGCACTTTTCTCGATGTTTGGCAGCTGAAATGTGCTCCCTGAAGGTCACGCCGGGCGACGTGCCCGTTTGCTGCCGCACACGGCGAGGGCTGCGCCGCCCGCGGGCCGGGGCCGGGGCCGGGGCCGGGCTGGCGACAGCGACCGCAGCGACGGGGACAACGCCACGGGGACGGGGCGGCTGGATGCGGGGACGCGCCCCCCAGCCAGACGTGCCCCGGCCCCGCTCCCCACTACCACCTGCAAATCTTCCCCCTGTATAGAAGGGAACCGTACCTAGCTTCCTATTTTATTTTATTTTAATTTATTTGGGGGGAGGGTGTGGGGAGGGAGAGAGGAAGAACGCAGGGGCTCCGAGGGAGTCGTTCCTTGCGTCTGGAAATTAAAAGGCTCAAATCTCCTCTGTGACCCCGCCGAGACACCAGAGCGCTGTTCGCAGCTACTTTAGAGCGCCAGTCTCAGCTGGGCTAGAGGTCGGAGCCAGTGTTCTTCAGAAAGAGGAGAGGAGCTCGGGAGGAAAACTCTGGCCCCGGGGCTGTGGGTAGTCTCCCTTTCCAGCGGCTAAGTGCACCTACCAAGGGAAGAAAGAGAGGCAGGGCTGCTAACCGTGCTGCTTAAATGTTCTCTGCTTTCTCCTCTCGGAGTAAAGCAAGGAGCAAGCTGCTCTAGCCGCCCGAATTATATGAGGAAGGTGATTTTTATTTTTTTTTAAAACCTAGTCTTGGAGTTTTAGTCCCACTTGAGGAGAGTGTCTGGAAAAAATCCCCCCCCCCACCCCCAGCTCAACCCAGCACACGTGGAAATAATCTCCTTTTAAATCTTGAGTCTTGATACCACATTAGTCTCTGTGATATTGCATTCCAAAGAAAATAGACTGGGCATTAGGAGAGGAATCTCCTCTTCCTAATGAATATTTACCCTGAGGTCATTACATCTGTAATGGTCCTCGCTTAACTTACCTTGCTCCCCTCTTTCTCTGCCAGTGCCTGGGATTTCAATCACAATGCCCTCGATTTTAAAGTGCCGTGTACCATTTAATGGCGGGGTGCAGGCAAGGTTAGAATATTATTGACTTCATGCAATATATAAGATGGATACGTTTAAGACTTTTAACTTTTTTGTCGCAATGACACACTGTATTTTTATGAGATACCTATTATGTAGACAGAACCATTGTGCTGTAGCTGCCTCACAGTTGCTGGATCGTTTCTATCAGATGAAAGATTTTGAATAGTTTTCTTTCAACAATGCATCCTTTTGGTCTTGATACAAAGCATGTAGGCATGGTATACACTTAAACAGCTCTGTCACAGAGCAAGATTAAATAGAGTATATATCGGATTCTGTCTGCAGTATAATGCGCGCAGGGAACAGAATGGAGTTCCCTTCGCCGCTGAAGAAGCCCATTAAGGTCTGATGTCCTAGCAGCATCTTCCAGATTTTCCTTATCTGTGATATTCGCTAAGCTGTTAAAAATCTTTACCGCCGGGCTTTAAAATCGGCTGTTTCTCGAGGAAAGACCGACTTTGATAACGGAGCCTTCCAACAAAACCCTGCTGCTGGCGCTCTGCCGAGGGGGCGCGTTGTGCCGGCTCCCGGCACCCATCCCGGGCCGGGCGGCCGCTCCGTGCCCTGCTGCGAAGCCCACCGGGGGCACAGGACCTGAGCCTCTCGGCGGGACCCCCGCGCCCCCCACCCCGCTCCCCCGGCCCCATTTCGGGCGGGGACCCCCGGCGGGGACCGGCGCTGCAGGCGGCCGGGGAGCGGCTGCGGGTGGGGGGCAAGGGGGCTGCAGCGCGGCCCCCCCTGCCCCTCCAGCACCCCCGGGACCCTCGGTGCCCGTGCCGGGAGCGGCAGGCAGAGGGTGCAGCCGGCGGGGCTCCGAGCCGCGCAGTGCCTCCCTCCTTCAGTGCTCACTCAAGCGACTTGCCCAAACTGCACGTGCTGAGCCCAACTTTCTTCTCCCCCTCTCCCCAGCTTTGTGCTCTGCGCTGATTGAGTCCCCATATTAAGCTCGAGATCCTTTCTAAGCAACTGCTAAGAAGTCAAGAGCATCCTTGCCTGCTTTCTCTCCGTGGCCTTTCATGCCCTCAATTTGTTATTCTACTGACACTTTTCTTAAAGTTAGCGCCCAGCATTGAAACATTAGCGACAAAAGCCCTGGAAAATCTCTCCCTCCTCACCGCTAAATCCTCTAATGGGTCAATGCGTGTCGAATTTTTATTTGATTTCCAATAATCTCTCGCACTTAAATATTAAACCTACCTCAGCCCAGCGCCTCACCTATGGGATATTTTTCAGCATTGCTTGGGAAAATACAAACGCTCAGATTTCATTCCACGTGCACCCACTAATTTATAAATGAGTGTATACAGCTGTCTTCATGTATATCTATGTCTCTATATCTGCAGTAACGCTT